CAAAAACATACTTCCAACAAGAACACGTCAAGGACGAAACGCAATTGACCTCATTGTCAAAAAGCAAAGAGAAAGAAGACAACAAGTACTTGACGCCAAAAGATTGGTACCCGTTTTGGATTCGTCCACCCAGGAAGAAAAATTATCTACTGAGAAAGTATTTGATAGTCCTGACAAAGTGTAAGGACATGTATCCCCTTTATTTAGTAATTACTTCGACTATAACTGTACAATCAATAATAATAGAAGAACTGCCCGACAATAAAGGAATTATAGGAAATGATAAGCAAACTAATATATTATCCCCTATAAGAAGATTCCCGGGAAATAAAGGTATAACTTTCTCTGAAATGTATCCTATATGTATTCCTAAAACTAAATGGACAATTGAAAAAACTTTCCCTATAGGAGAAATACAAATAAAGATTAATAAAATAAGTGAAGATTTAGCCAAGTATTTAAAATCTATTTCTTTTCCTGATTATATTAGACAAGTTAATCTACTAGTTGAAGGAATTCAACCCTCCTTAAATACATTGATAGCCACTAGTACATCATTATTTGAAAAAGCATTTATATATGAGAGAATTCCTTCACGAGCCTTCTCTTTCTTCTCAGAAAAAGCTTTACAAAACAGATTAGAGACTAATATAGCGGATGGTGCACCTTTTACAACAAATTGTGTAAAATTAAATACACCAACCGCAGATGATTATTTTAAAACTTTGAATAAATTAATAGAAAAATTTAATAGTCTGAATGCAACTATGCGTACCAACTATTCTAGTGATGTATTTGAAACCGTTACATTAACTATGCACACTCAGTTAAATAATCTGAATCTGGTATTGAGGACTATAGAAAACAAGATAGAATACCGAAATGATTTAAGATTTCCTAATGAGTTAATTACTCCAAATAACATAAAAAATGCGTTGAATAAATGTTTGACAACCAAGGGCAGCGCCTTAACCGCCGCTGAGCTAATTAATATTCTGCACACCAATCCATTAACTATTGGAGTATTTACGGGATGCAAAACAAACTCCTCATCAACTCTTCCTAATTCCTGTGTCTATCACATTTTAGCTATTGTACCTATATTAACAGATGGTTCATTTTTCAACCTATTTAAGGTACAACAATTTCCCATTTCTGAAGACACCTATTTAGGAAACCCCAAGTGGAAGCAAGTAAGAATAAATGATGAATTCATCTTGATGAATAATGATAAAATATTAGGCTTAGGAGCTGAAGAATTACCAAATTGTGTAGATTCAATTGATTTCTCAAGGTGTCAATTATGTAAATTCAATATTATACCTAACAGACCTGCCGATGAATGTTTAATAGCTATTTTAAAAAATAGAGAAGAAAAAGAAGTTAATCAAAAGTGTATCCTAGAAAAGATACCCACTCCTGAAAGTAAGTTTGTCAGGTTAGACGATGATGAATTTGCATTTATCAATCCAAGGGAGAGTTGAATAACTCAATATTGCCCTAATCAAGGTAATGGACAAACGCAGAATTCATATGAATTACCCCTAAGTAGGATTATGCAATTTCATAACTCGTGTTGCTATACTTTGATAAATGGACCTATTTCTGATACCATTACTAATTTAGATATAGAAGGAGTTGAAATTAAAACCGTTACTGAAATTACCCCAGAAAACGAAAATAGAAAAGTTATAAATGATATAAGTGAAGTGCAACTACATTTTTGTGATTTTGGTTACATTTACCTAATGGGACTTTCAGTCACTTCACTCATAATAATGTGCTGTTCATTATATTTCTGTTATGCCAAAATACGTGTATATCTGGTGAGAAGAAGAGCTAATGAAATGATTCAAGAAATCGATAGCATAGAATTAATGCCCCCTAGACCTACCAGGATATACCCCTCAATCAAATTTGTCTAAAAGTAATTGACCCAAAAGAGATTTTTACTGTACAGATCCTACTGTTGGAATTCAATCACACACCAACAGTACGAACCGTACAACATAAACCTCTCAATCCCACATATGCCAACCGGTCTCTCCTGAGGGTATCCTTGTTCCATAAGATCAAAGTTCATCTCTCCGGCTGTTCTGGATTCAGTCATGAACTACTGAACATTCTCGTAGAATTCATTCCAAATCCAGAATCCCAAAGAGCATTCTAGATCAAGCAACGATGATGTAAAGTACGAAAGTTAGCACATATTGCTCAGATGTTAGAGAATTACAATGCTCTCGCCACACGTGCTAATATTTGAAGCTTTAGGAGATGAAACTGATCCCCAGATTAGTCCGCTTCAGCTAGGTGTCACTACGTTAAATGTGAAACACCAACTGATGCAAACAAACCCCAGGAACCCCTGTCAAGATTCGAACTCAGATCGCCAAATGTTGTTGAAAATGTGCAGCAACTCCTACCGATTCGGCTATACGTGTTTGGACAAATTATAAAGGCAGTTTGAAAGACTGTAAAGGCAGTGAAATTTTTGGTTCTATAGAAAAGGCCCACAAGACTATTCAGCGTTACTCGAGCCGAAAAGCGCGAAAATAAGGGGTCTGCCGTCATAAAACTTGACGCAGACTTGACACTTGCGCAGGAGCGGAGTAGCAATAAAACAGACGAAACTTGGTCTCCAAAAAAATAGTACGGAATGCAAATTTAAAAGTTTCATTCTAATGTTAAATGATATGTAATATATCCTCAATAGTTTAATCTGACGATCAATGAAAAATAAAATTGTATCTAGGTATGCACATATCCCTACGCATGTATATTCTTTTTAAACAATGTGAAAATGTGGTGAAGGAAAAAAATTGTATATATATATATCTGTACTATCTACCAAAGGAAAACTATATGCAAAATGACAAAACATCAAATCCCATGTAGAAAAAAAAAAAAAAAATTGTCCTTTTATTGTTTGCATAACATATTCTCATGCTTTTTGCGCGACAACCGAAAGCTCACGCATCTGACGCCGGCTCCAAAACGAAGGGGACCAATACGTTTGATGCATCCTCCAGCTGTCCCATCACCCGTATTTTATTTTTATCTTCTGAGTTTATTATTTGCAAAAAACGAACATGTTCTTTTTCTCTGTTTCGCAGACTTTGAAACATTTTGAACACCTCTGCGCAATCTTTTATTTTTACTTTATTTTTCACTATGATACCATTGCTTGACATTATTGAAGCTGAAGAACCAAATTGTTTTATATTTTCGTCGCGAACAGTAGCCGTTGATAATGCGCGCAGATCAATACTTTCAAGCCCTGAGTCGTCGCGGTCAACACGGCTCAGACTTGAATTAGAAACTTCACTGATGACCCCTTGGAGCTCAATGACCTCAGGTGTAGAAGTCCTGACTTCATTTGTTGGTACCTGCGAGTATAAAGTATATCAGAAAATAAATTCTTTTCTTGATATATACCATACTCACCTCCAAATAATCATCTTGTTGTCTTTGATGCCTAGTATACCGTCTGACATAATACATTATGAGCACAGAACTGGCTCCCACTAACATTCCCACTACCATCAAAATCATTACTATCACTCCAGAAATGCCCGCAGCAACATGGTCAAAAAACTTATCAGTTTTTGATTCAGAGGTTGAATTGAGTTGTACGTTATGCAGTTTTATTTTATTTACTTCCGGAGTTGATGTTTCAGTAATTTTTGCTGATGTGGATAATGCGGGAAATGTCATTATGTCATTGATTGGGTGTGCTGTGACGGAAAATGAATCGTCAACGGACTCTGAAGAGGAAGTTATAACGGCCAATGGGATCAGAGTAGTGACTGCTACACTCTTCTCCGAAGACTGAAATTGAGCAAGGCACTGACCACCCACAACTTCAATGGAAGAAGAGTTCCTTTCGCACTGCACATCACGATCCAGCAAAATTTTCTGTGAATTAATTTCTCAATGATTGAATGACGCGTAGATTTTTATTATTATACTTACTTTAACCTGGTTGAATTCTGCACAATCAAAGTTGATTTTAGATCCGGATAGCTTAACAATTCCATCATAAGCTGAAACCCGACGAGACCCTTCCTTACAAAGATCTTCGCAAGTCCAGGTCCCGCCTATCTCCATGCAATTTTCATCCATACCATTTACATTAAAAATGTTAAAGACGATACAAGCAGCAATCACAAATAACTTGGAAGCCAACATTTTTTTTTTGAGCCCACACGATGAAAATTCCTCAAAGTGTTTCACTTGGAAAAGCCAAAACAGCAATGATGAAAAGGGTTAAAATCCGTACCTGAAAATCGGTGAATGCAAATTCTCACCGTAATGTGAAACAGAGGCAGGAAACAGCAAAGTTGCACAGATATACGTACATGTTGAAGTCCAATAAACACTTAAATATATAAATATTGGTGTTTCTTTGCTTGCTTATAAGATTACCTAAGTACTAAATGTACTTGGTTTGGGACGCATCCGGTAAAAAGGAAGCAAACTAAATTAATTCCGTCAACACTTATAAGATTATCCTCTTGAAGGTTGGTGACACCCAGGGTTTTAGCCTGTGAGCCTTAAAATCAATAAGTGTACGACAACAAGCTGAATAAAATATTTAAAAAACATAATGCTACAGTAGAATCTCGTTACAACAAAGTGTTTGGCTTTGTTATATACGACAATTCGTTAAAACGAAATTAAAATGACATTGTGGATATCGGACAGGGACTGAGAAAAAAGTCATTGTAAGCAAAAATTCGTCATTACGAGGTTGTTGTAACGAAAGTCTACTATACTGTATACAATTTCTGCAATGCTATATTTTGTCTGAAAAAAGCTTTTCGTCATTAATCATCTTTCAATTCTGCACAGGTAATATATCTTTTCAACATTTTCTGCCAATTATCCCTCTGGCTCAGAATCAGAGTAAAACACTGACATTCGTCGTGAAGATGAGAGAATTTCCTCCGCTTTGACGTGGACCAATAAAAGAAAAAAAAATTCAGAATAAAAATAACCGCTCACCCGTCAATGACGAACAAGACAGCGGCTTTCACGGTCGCCACGCCGAGGACCGACGCGAGAAAAGACAAGCATCGGACGGCCGAGGCGTCGACGCCGTCGTCGAGACAACACGCGGCACCAACCAGCAAACTCCTAGCCACCACGATGGCGATCGGGGCGCCCAACTCCGCCAGTTGCGTCACGATGCGCTTCAACGTCGCCGAAAGAGTCAAGGACGACGACCTCGGCAGGACTTGCAGCACAGCAAACGGCTTCTCCCCGAGACAGCACACGTGAGCACACCACAGTTTCCTCTGTCGCTCGCACTCTTCCGCTTCCTCTTCGGACACACGGGTTCCTTTCGGTACCTGAATTGAATAAACGAAAGCGCGAGGGTTTTCGGGGTGGTTCATGAAATACGAAACAATTTGTTATCATCGGAAAATTCTCGATGTAATAATTAAAAGCTAAAGAGTCGTAAAAAAAGGACGACTCAGGTGAGAGAAAAGAAGGAAGAGGAAAGAAAGAATAATAGTAATTATTTTCACTAATACTGTACTTGTACAGTCAAACCCCATTAAGAAGCCCAGAGTAAGCCGCCACCCTAGGCAACCCCCAATTTATTTCGAACAACAAATCTTCCCTAATGCTAGTAACATTAAAAACCCTGTAGAACGCCATCCAGGGAATTTATTAAACTCAAATCTGTTTCTGCAAATAAATTCTGTCCTCAATAACCCAAAAACATGATCCAAGTTTCTGTGAGAGGTCTCATTTTGAAGAAAAAAAAAACACACAAATAATGTACAATTCATTATTTTCGGAAAATTCGCGAGATATAATTTATTTATCCTTGAGATATTTTTATTGTTTTTTTCCTTGTGGAAGAATGAGAATTATATTTTCTATTATACTTGATTTTCACATTATGTTGGGCTTCATGATAAACCACCAGCCCGTTTGCAGTGCCAAACCCGTTGAGCTTTCACAAACAAAATAAGGTGGCGCCTTATTATCAACGTTTGACTGCAAATAAAAATTGCTCGTTCGATACACAGAGAAAAACAAACCTCAAAAAAATTAAAAGACCAGGCATCGACTCACCTGCAACGGCAGGGGTAACGGGAGTAACGCACTCAACACCCTCACTCCGCTCAGCCACAAATGTGGCCCAGTTTGCAAGTGCTCGAAAACCCTCTTGAGCACGTTGGTCCACAAACTCTTCCCGGCCGCGCTTGCATCTTCTCCGCCGGCTCCCACACCACCAGCACCAGCGTGACAAACACCACCACCACCTCCTCCATCCTCCTCTTTACCATCCCCCGACACAGACACGGTTCTCGTACTGCGCAACCTGGGACGCAAGTGGGCCGCCAAGGCGTCCAAGCACCTCCGCTGAACCCTCCTCACTGCCCGCTCTACACACAACACGGCATTTTGTCCAGCACCCAGAGCCACGGCGAGGGAGTAGCTGCTGAGAAACACCGGCGCCAGGGTCAAGTCCTTGAAGTCCTCGTTCAGGGCGTCAATGACCGCCACTGTCAGTCGATGGAACAGCGCCACGGACACGTCCAGGAGTGAGGCCAGCGCTACGGGGGACGACCCGCCGAATAGTCGCAGGGACGCCGTCGGCTGCACGTAGAAATCCGACAAGCGAATCAGCAACGTTTTCAGGGAACTCATGAGATCGGCGGAGAACATGGCGATCATGGCGGCGTCGAACCGCAAGTCCGCGTCCTCCTGTTTCTCTTCCTCCGAGTCCACACCGTCGCCGCAACTCACGTCCCACGGGATGGCCATGGTGCGAAGGACACGGAGAGACGTCAGCAGGGCGAAAGGAAACGGCGGCGGCACCTCGGAGTCGAACTGGATTTGCGAAATCTGCTTCGCAACAATCTGGAAAAAAAATTTACGATCAAAGTTCAATTCAGAAACACCGGTTGTCGTGGCACATTTGTGGCACGAAATTGAGGGTTGTGCTTTGTATGAGAGGAAGGTTTCATTGAGCGGTTTCTTAATTTTGTTTAGCATACAAGATAAGCTCGTTCGCATAATATCTGGACCACTGAGTTTGTTTTACGAGAGAGAAAGCCAAAAGGAACAATTTGAAGCTCAAATGTACAGTACTGCTGTCGTACTGTATTTCCAATATTTTTCAAAAGACTGAATATATTGGATTTTTACACACATCGCGTCTAGTACAGAGCTTCAACTTGAAAGTCTTGCTAAAATTTGAGTTTTGTATTAAGTGCCATCATGCACATGTCATCAAGGTTTCAAGGAAACCTCCCCTTTCACCTTTATAATTTTTGATGAAGGAAGGTTTCATGCAACAAAATATATATTTTCAACAACGTAAATTCAGAAATAAAATGCTCAAAATTATCCTGAGTTTTCACGTGAGTATGGGCTAAGTAATAACCCCATGATATTCCTAGAATAAGGTCTCAATTTATTTGAATTCGGCCCATTTTTCACCCATTCCAAGGAATTTTTTTTGCACAACAAACACTGGCATTAAATCTGGGTTTCTTTCAAGAACGGAAATGAGTGAGATCAGTTCCAGGGAAATTCGTGCAGGGTTGACTGTACTGTACAAGGGAAAGAATCTCTCTGTGCAAGACCTTCATCAAGTAACGCATAGATGTCGCCGTTCGTCTCCAGAACTTACATCACACAAAATCACGACACCGGTCTCTGGATCCAGACTCAACGGGTTCCTCACAGGTTCGAGCAAGGCCAAGAGATCACTAATGGTTGTCTCAATGTAGCTGAAGTGCGCTTGCGAGGCGTAGCCCACTGACGTGTAGATCGATTTCCGCGTCCCAGTGGCCGGGTCTACCAGGTCCGCTTCTTTCTCTCTCACAACAGCGTCTGCCAAGGCTTCCAAGGTGCAGCACAAAGACTCGGGTTCACATCCGCCGTAACGCAGGAATATATCCGCTGAATCGTTGCCTTGCAGTGCACACTGAAGCAAACCTGATGCACACAAAACAACTCATGAGCATGTTTTTTCCGCACGTAAAATCAAAGAGAATCAATGCGATTCAATTTCAGAAAAAAAGAAGTTCGAATGAGGTGTAGCCTACTGCACTTGAAAACGCTAGTTGACGAGGCTCGAAAATGTACACACACCACGATTATTTTCAATACCTCATGATCAAATAATCAACATTCATGTGTACATTTGAAGTTTGAATAGGCATAGGCTTTAAAAGAGAACCTGCGTTTCACGAAAAATATTACGATTTACGAAATATTGTGCGATGAGCCCTTGTCAAATTTCTTCCTGAATTATTCGGCACACAGAACGAAACACTCGTTTTCCACGCAGTGAACCAACACTCAAAGGACTTGCTATAGAGAAATACTGTATGTTATAAGTGATTGATCTCACTGACGTGGCATCAAGCCCCGTCATTCACTCTTCTTTTCAACCACAGCAAAAATTTTCAATTTGAAAATTAAAGGAGTAGAAGTATTCTCACAAGAAGCAATACGACGATCAAAATGATCGAAAATGTAAAGTTATCAGACAGACATAAACCATTCTCTAATACGCAGGTTCTTCTTCAAAAATGTAGTTCATTTTCAGAAATCGTCCTCGAATACTTATACGGTACATGGAATTCATCTCCCGAGCCTCCACGTTATGCATATCCTCCTGTACGCAGATTTCCCTCACGACGTAAAAAGTAGTAAAACCATTGTATCCTCCCTTTCACTTTCGGTAGTTAGAAAATTTTCGTTTGGAGAGCAGAGATGATGTTTGAAACTCAGAATGTATGTTTTCGTTCCCATGAATGTGACATAACTGATTCTACCGGGAGTTTCTCTAGTAAGCTTTTCAAGTATAAAGTTGAATCTGCTTTTCTCCTCGGTTTTTCGGAAATGTGGTTAAATAATTTTCTGGGCTACTCCTTGGGCGCTTAGGGTACGGGATATCGGGGGAGTACATTAATCCACGCGATCAAGTACATTTGGACACGCTAACAAATTGAAATACTGTGCTGTACCATATTCACTCGAGTACCACGCGCACCCTTTTCCCAGACAACAGGGGCAAAAAATGAGGTGCGCGTCACGGTCGGGTACAAATTGTCTGGTAAATTTTTTTAAAACTAAACTTGATCCACACTTTAAATTTTTGCGACGTTCGTTTTTTTCTAATGATTTTTCGTTTTGCATAGTAAGACATGAACATTCAAGTCGATTTTTGGGTAGGCTTGTACTTGATTTTCACCCCATGCAGTTTTTAAAATACCCCATAAATTTTGGGAACTGGAAACTAAGGCACGCGTCTAATGCCGAAATAGAATATTCTTTCCTAAATTCGAGCTGAAAAACTAAGGCGCGTGTCTTACTCCAGGGAGCGTGGTACTCGAGTAAATACGATACTTCTTAAAATCGATGGCATCTTATATTCGTAGAAATGCGAATCGTTCGCAAACTGAAGCCGCTCCGACAAGCTAAAACGTACCCAGTGCATAACCACGACACGCAGGAGAAACAGTGTTGATCGCCAAAAAGGGTAAAATCGCGTCGAGATTCCGTTCCAAGCCTAGCACGTGAGCGACGCCGCATTTCCCCGCTGGCTGGAACGTTAGTCCGTAGAGGTCCTTCATCGTTTCCACGAGCTCTTCCGTGTCGAGGCGTTTCCTTACCGGTGAAGCACTGCGAGAAACTTCAGAATCCGGGTCCAAGTCCGTCTTTTGTGGAACGGCACACGCCAAGTGACGGAACAACATGTCGACCAGCTTTAAAGCCTGGAAAACCGAGGGGAACAAGAATTCTTCTTGATACACATACAGTACACTGGAAAAGGCAATAGCAGGAAATCGTGACACTTTGTCACATACAAATCCAAAAAGTCTTCGATATCATTCAGCAAGAAAATAAATTCAATACGAAGGGTGATTATGTTCCTCGCGTCCTCCGAAAGATTAAGATTCAACCTATCCCGGACATTATTTTTTAAATCGTAAAATGTCTCTTGAACAAAGCGAGCTACAGTATTTCTCTTGACAATGATTGAAAATAAATTTCATTACTGTAAAAAATTAATAAAATTCATGATGAAACACAGGCTAATTTTTGCTTTCATTTTAGAGATTTTTCCATCACGTGTGCCAAGTAAACTTATTTTTCATCTTTACTTCTTGAACTGGCTCTGGTGCTAGAAGATCAGATTCTGTGTAGCTTTTTCTGCAAAGTTATTTTCTGCATTTTGAAGTTGAGAAAATTTATTTCATTCAATTGTTGGGGACTTCATTCCTAATTTTTGATGAAAAGGAGAACCAATTAAATATTTTCCCATTGAATTTCAAGGGAAAACTTGATCCGACTTAAGACACAAAGGTCCAAGCACCGATTACGTCCTCATTTCGGGCTTTACTTGTACTCTTCAAAAAACAAAACTTGAGGGCGTTTTTAAGCTTCCCGAGAAGACCCTCAGACACACACAAAAAAAGGTGCGCACCTGCAGATAATAGATGATCTGCACACCCAGCATTTGTGCGAAACGGCCTCCAGTGATTTCTCCTGACTGCGACCCGGCGTCCGGACTCCGCTCATCATCCCCCGCAATCCCACCCGGCGGCTTCGGCATCACGGCCCTCAGAATGGCCGCCAGAAGTTCCCCATTCGCACTTAGGAATGCCAACCCTTTTAAACTCGCCGAGAAGTCGTCCAAAAACCGACAGACTTTCGCCTTCCTCGCCTCTTCCCCGCGTCCGGGCACACAGGCCAGGATCAGAAGCACTTCGAGAAGAGAGTAGGTTTGCAAGGCGGAGAAGACGCCACGGTAGGGGTCGCCGACCGGCGGCGGCACGCGCAATTGCCGAGTGGCCGGCAGCTGCTGTCCGGGCTGGCCCAGGTTCACTCCAGCCCGTCGGTAAACCCGGAGGATCTCTTCTAGGATCTGTAGGATCTCTTCGGCCTTCTGCTTCCGGGAATCGGTTCCCAACAAGTCCTCTATTTCTTTACCCAATGTCTCCAGCAGCTCCCAGAAATGAAACTGCAAAACAAGAGGAACGTTTTCTAAGAAGCTGCGCGTGCTACATAATTTAAATAAAAAAAACCCACTCAACACTCTAATAAATTTAAAACAACTCTTCAACCAATGATCTCAAAATGATAATTATGGTGCATTACTCATTTATTTGATTAACATGAAACACGAAAGGTGAAACAAAAACATTATTTTCCAACAAGTGTCCCGATGGAAGGTCATCGCAAAACTTTCCCAGCGAACTAGAATTCTACCAGATCTGGTGTGATCCCTTCCATACACCTTTTTCACTTGAGTATCACACGCACCATTTCTCTGAATCAATTGGAAACAATGGAAGTGTCTGTCAAAGGTGTGTACTTCATTATACAGTACGATATTTTTAAAGCTTTTGTGCGCATCACACTTCATTCCTACGCTCAATGTAAATTACAGATAATTCAAAAATGGAAACCATGGGAAAATAACATTTAATTTCACTAAAAATCAGGTCAAAATTCAAACCTATGTATTTTATTTTCCACATACAGGTGGACTATCTACAAAAAAATTCATAAGAGCAGAAAAAATCGTTGTAGAAAGAATTTAGTTACAGAGAACCCCTATAACATGGGGACAGAACCCAAAAGTTCCTTATAAAATACTGAAAAGAAAATATCGTTTCAGCCAAGATTTTTGTGAAGCGAGTCCACTTGTAGGTGAAATTTTCAGTTTCTAGAAATGGGGTGGGCATCTTGCTCAGAGTTACGATTTTATCAAAATTTTCGGCTGAAAAATTCAGGTGCACCTCTTAATCGAGTCAACCATTTTGAAAATAAGTAAATAAATAAATTGTCTTGGTACTTTCCTTTTATCTCAGTACCTCATTCCTAGACCGCACTACCATCCAGACAAATCTTTAGGACGAGTTCATAATCAACCGTGAATTTTATTTTTCTGCATTCTGCTGAAACTGATTTTGGGAGGCGGTTAGGAAAAGTTAGGTTAGGTGTCCAATACAATCAATGTTTATAGAAAGTTGATTGTATTGGACTGGATTGCTAACTTTACCTAACCACCTCCCAAAATCAGTTTTAGCAGAAACCCAAAGAAAGCAGAAACTGATGTTGGGAGGCAGTTAGGTAAAGTTAGGTTAGGTCAGGTTGAATTGGTCAGAGGGAAGGTACACAGATAACAGGAATGAGGTACTGAGATAACAGGAAAGTACCATTGTCTTTCTGGGCGCAATGGAGGCTTTATCGTTGACATTTCAGGTTTATTTTTTATTGATAAAATATTTCAAAGAAAGAAAAAAATACTACCCAGAAGACAGTTTTGGAAGGTCAGCAGAGCAATGAGCAGCTCACCAATTATGACTAACCCTCACGAGAAAAATATTTTGATGAATATACTGTACTTCCTTTCCAACATTAAATGGAAAAAAAATTGCCATTTGCTTCTCGCAACAACAAAAAAGTCTCGGGAAATAAATTCCATATCCTGACCTTGTTTAACAATCTCACGACGGCGACACGGAGTCGGGAAGAGCCCCTCGAGCTCAACACGAAGCGACACAGTCTCTCATATAACGTCGGATCTGACCCGGTGTCATCCACGTCACTCATGTCGTCATCGTCGTCAATGTCGGGTTCGGATTCGGATCGCTTCCCACTGGCACCGCGTTTCCGTCCGTGTCGCACCTCTCGCACAGCCAAATCGAAGCCCAGCTTCAAATCCAACGTCTTGTCCACCGCCTGCAGGATCAGCAGCTTCATAGGAACACTCATGTGGTCTTGTTCGTACAAGTTCAGAAGCCGGTCTAATCATTAAGAAAAGGAAGAAACAGAAGAGCTGTCAAGATCACAATGCTTCGAGGCTTATGATAATTTCTAGCATCATTTCGAGCGTTTTTCGTAACACGAGACGAGCCCAACGCAAAAGAAAAGTCCGTGTCTAGAAATCTTTCAAAAATATTTTTCAAATTTTTTCCTGCAAAAAGAACATAAACTGAAATTGGACCAAAATCGTACACTTTTTGAAGCATAAAAATCCGTAATTACCTCAGAGGACGATTGGAAAAATGATCATGCATTGACGGTCTTGCCAATTTTTTCAAGTTGATACTTGCGTCATTGATCGTCGGGGATTATGAAAAAATGTATTCTTTCATCACAGATGTTTCCTCGAGGTTTAATTTCAAAGAAATGACAGTTCTTTCGATATTTTTCAACAAAATTCAAACACTAAAAAAAAAGGGAAATCTCAAGGAATAGGAGTAGAGCTAGATGATGCGTCATGTACCAGACGAAATCATGAGTGAAATTGAGGTAATAACTTCAGATTTTTCTCATCTTGGAAAATATTAGATTCTCAAAAAGACCTTCTTTTAAAACCCGAAAACAAGAGACGACTCGGTATGCTTTCCAAGAAACAGGTGCAATGTAGGAAATACTAACGTTGTATCCTTCGTTGCAAAAGGCGACTCGCAATGGCAGGTGAGCATGAGCAAATCCCGGAACACAATCGAATACCGGCTTTTAAATGCCTTAGCACGTAATTGCAATCGACTTGTTCCAGTGCGGCGTCAAAATCCGTACCAAATTCCGCCCATGACAGCAACACGTCTAAAATCCCTGGTTAGAAAACATTTCTAGTTAAATATAATCGAAATCTTACCGTAACATTTTTAGAAATTCGTGACTTAAAAAAAAAAGCATACAGTAGTTGGCTTTCATTCGTCAATGAAATAAAGTAAAATCTCGTTGCAACTAGATTCTATTGATGCATAATTTTTGAAGTCCTCATGCAGGTCTTTTTCAAATGGAAAATTCAGCAAGCCACTCATTACTCAAAGCACATCCAATGAAGTTTAGACAAATGTTATGGACTGGTATGAATAAAAATCCATACTGAAGACTCAAATCAAAGTAGCAGATGGAAATTTGGAACAAAAACGAATTCAACAAAATTGATCCGAATTTCATCATTCTAACTTTGAAATTTAACCTTGTGCAGTATTTTCCAAAAAAAAAGCGAACGCATCACAGAATGCCGAGGTACATGGCCAAAGGGGGATTTAATTTTTATTTTCGCCAAAAATTGAGGTACACGTCTTACACTGTCGTTTGTGGTAATTAATCATGTTCTATATCTATACTGCGCAGAAAATTTCACAAACGTGTTGAAAATGGCAGAAACAAATGAATCACAGTAGTTAACCAAGAAATAACTGATATGCGGTAATCTCAAGAATTTACGCTGCCACAGCATACTCAACATTCGGACAATTTATTTTTGGAGTCAAAGCGAGCGTTGCAGAATTACACTTCAGATTCTACAATACAGTGTTGTAGACATAAGTCATGACATACAAATACAGAAGAACTCTCTAAACAAAGATCTTGTCAACAACGAGTTTCTCTGTACTGCACAACGTTTTTCTTGGTCCGATTGGGTTCTATCATTGGTTCCCATGCTATAGGGGTTCTCAGCAACGAAATTCTTTCTACAACAAATTTTTTCTAGTCCCTTGAAATCATTTGCGCAGAGATTTCACCTGTATCACTGGGAAGTATTTGTTGGCACACAAAAAAACTAGCAAGAATTGCGGATACGCTAAGTTGTCGTAATACTGAAACGGAGTTGAAAAAAGGACGAATCGACCAAAACTACAGATGACTGCATGAATTGTCAACCTGATGTGCGTCCCATGTGCATAAGCTGTGCGACGGCCTTCGGTAACAACGGAATCACTTCTTCAACGGAGTTCACCCACACACTGGACGATTCGGGTTCCGGCAAATTCTGAAACCCGCGCCAAAAAAGTAGGACTGTAAAATCATTTTTGCTTTTCCTTCCCTGCTCATGACTTTAATCACCACAACTAGCTGGGAAACTTTTTTGGCAGCATCCGGCAGTCGCTCATCTGCTTCAAACTCTTCCTCGGCATCTCGGGGTTCTTCGAATGCTTGCAAAAGAAGAAGTTTCCGAGTTTCTAGTTCACCTTCCGTGAGACTCGGGTCAGGAATGCACTAGAAAAGATCAGTGTGAAAAGCTCACCTCCATCATAAACTCGAAACAAATATTTCACTCACTATCAATGGCTGAAATTCTACCCCGGCCATTGGATCGAAGACTTTCAATCCCGTCAATTCTTCGTCTTTTTGATTATGATCCACATCATGCTCACCCTGCACACAAGAAATTGCGTCAAAGGTTACAATTAAGCGATTCACCAATAATACTTGTGTTTTGCCCTAAACATGACCGAGATTATATCAGTTTGTTCTCCGCATTACACCATACAATTTTAATTCCGATCGCAGAATCGCGAAGACTTTCAGCGCCGACCGAAATTCTCTCACATAAAGCTATAATCCGTCATTTCATATGAGCTGTATCTGAATGTAAACGCTTAGCGACGCTTTATTTTGAATGTTTCATCTATGGTATTTACTCAAGTACCAGGTGACCCTTTTCCTCAAAACTGAGAGGGTAAAGGGGGTGCGCGTCATACGTGGGGATACAATAAAAAAAATGTGTGAAGTTTAGGTGCGAATCGCACTTGAATACTGTATGATGGGAAATTTTTGAAAGAAACTATTCAAAATCAGAACAATTGAAGATTAATTCAATTCGGGAGAAATTCATGTTCAAATTTGAATTCTGGCGTCTCTTCTGCTTGAAATACACTGGAATATCGTTACAACGAAGCCATTGGTCCCAGTAGGATCGCTTAGTTGTAATGAGAAATTCCTTATAAAATTACCACCGTATTTACTTGAGTTTTTCGGTAAACATTTTCAATAAAATTCTATCCACGAGTAAGACGCACACCCCATCTTAAGTGACTCTTAAATTGTTAGCTTTCAAAAATAATTGCAGCCGAATTCGGATTTAACTGTGATTTTACCCTGAATTCAACTAATTTTCGATTATTTCCATTATACAGTAGTAAGTGTTTCGATTGAAACTCGTCCAACATTTTCAATTAGAGAATCAATATAATGCACACCTACATTTCTGAAACTTTGAGAATCCATACCGTCTATGACACGCACCTCCTCAACTTTTTTTGCTCTTTGAGTAAGAATTTGAGTAAGAAGGTGCGCGTCGTCATGTAATTTAACATAGTGGCTATCGGGCTGGACCCTAAAAAATGACTTCATTGTAGGCGATTATTTGTTACATACTGTAGTACCGAGATTTTTCGTAGCGAGATCACTGTATTGTAGCTTTTCATTCAAAATGGGGTGCGCATATTACTGAGGGATGGGATTTCAACAGAATTTTAGGGAGGAAATCGGGGTGCGTCTTACTCGAGGACGCGTGTTACTCGAGTAAACACGGTATTAGTGTAAAATTTCTGAAATTATTTCCATGTTTGAAGAACAAAAACCAACCATTTCTTCGGGCAAGTCATCATCACTGATGATCTCCTCGAAGTCCTGATAGCTGGAAGACAACGGAGCTGGTCCACTATCCGGAACCAGCGAGGAAGCCGGATTGCAGTTGGGTGAATCAATATCGTGCTTCGGTGAGGCATCGCGTGGTGATCGAGACACCACCAATGCAGCAGCAGGTCCTTCGTCGATCGTCGTAGAAGCAGGCTCGTCTTCTGAACCACTCGAACGATACGCGCTACGAGAACGCTGCTCTTCATCAGTCCCGCTTCCTGGGAAATGAACGAGTGCTCGATTATTGTTACCTCCGAATATGTTAAATATGATATGTTACTTGCGGTATGCCCGAAAATGGCCTACTATCAATTTATGCTGGAAAATTTTTGTTTGATAAAAGAAAACGTAGGATGACACTGCTCCGCAAACACAGGATTCAACAATACAAAGAACAGGGAAAACCATAAAATATGGCCTATTTTTTTACCCACTTGAACTTACTCTCACCGATTCAAATTTGAAAAATATCGAATTTGAATTTGAAAAATATCCCCTTGGGGCATTGCTGCAAAATACTGTATATACAGTAGTAATTTTAATTTTTTAGGGAAAACTCAAGTTTTTAATATACTGTACTGTAAATTTACAAAAATATTACATTGTACAGTACATAAAGTCTCCACTTGCCTCCACATCAGTTCTTTTTCTCACGCAGTTACGAATGCCTGTACTTGTGGCTTAATGATTAAAGGCTGAAAACATCAACTTTGAAATACAGTATAATGACCCTGGTTTGAATTCCACTTGAGTAAATAAACTTATTTGACGTATGTGTGTATGCAGGCATGAATGATACGTATGTACAGTATTACTTTTGATGTACCGTCCATAATTTTTTGAAAAGATTAATTTCATCAAGCATAAAACATACATTAAAAGACCAACTTTCACAACAAATTCAAACAAAAACAATGAACATAACCCTTTTTGCTGCAGAAAATTCTGTGGCAACCTAGTTTTTTAGTGCACCTGTATACAGTTAACTGAGACACATTTGCATCTCAATACACTAAGACAGGATCAATTCAAGACAAGGCCAATTTGGAACAGGGTCAATTAGAGATGGTAAAATTAACGCCAAATCTTCAAATACATACCTTCATTCTATTATTGATTTATTTTACTCAAAAGTTATAACATATCACACAAGGAATGAATACCCGGTAGTTCCACTGAATCAAGAGAGCAATGAAAGCACTGAAAAGTGGTACCACCTTATTTGGTCTCAAATTTTTCTTGGAATGATCCTGTCTGTAACTAGATGTTTTTTGAAACACATCTCTCTTAATTAGACTCCGTCTGAGATAATCCTTGACTAAATAATTTTATGAATCAAATCGCCCATGCCATGAATTTTCCGCTCAAAATTGTCCTACGTCAAAATTAATCTCTGGGGAAGCTACCACAATTTCTTCTACACGACGCTTTTCCTGACTTTTGACAATTGTTCTATTCCTCCGCATAATTTAAGCCATTTGAAGCATGCTCGACCGGCATACACACGTGAAACTGCGTCGAAAATCTACTCACGAAAGCTTACTGGTAAAATAGGGCATCTTAACTAACCACGTCGTCTTCTCGGAGACGATCTGGATAGACGTCGATAAGAACTCCTAGAATGAATACTGTCACGGCGATGCTGACTGCCAGAGAGTTTAATCGACACCGAAGACCGACCGTGTCCGGCGTCCACGGAATTAGAACGCGATCTATTTCTGGCTTTATCACTGAACACTCTGTCATCATCATCGTCATCCTCGACCCGAAGTCCAGGATCCGGGGATAACTGGCAGTCTGGTTTCACACTAGATGCAACTTCTCGACAGAAATCTTTAGCACACGAGTCACGGGAATCAAGTTCAGATTTGGGAAGGTCCAGGTCACGTCGAGGCTCATCGAGATCCGCAAAAATTTCAACAACATGCGACTGATCAACCTCGATCGGGGTCGACTGAGATGTTTCCGCAGCGGACGGTGACGTGGCGATCGTGGGTGTTGTCTGAATGCCGGAAGAATCCGTGGTCTCCGGAAGTTCAGCGTCGGGGATTTTTGGCGTTTCTACCTGAATATTAGCTCGGTTTCCCAACACAGCCAAAGTCACCGCAGAATATAAACCCCGTAAGACGAGGCCATCGGTAGGAATCTGCAATAAACTCTTACTCAATTACCACACAGTACTTCCTGGTTGTCGACGAATGGTCGGAAGCTCACCTCATTTTCACAGCGCAGGATTATACACGACTGCTCGTCGTACTGCAGGGTCCCGAGAGGCTCGAAAGTTGAGGCGCCGGGATTAATGAGATCATTCACAAAGAACTCGAGACTGAATTTTGAAGGATTTGTCGCACTGAAACGAGAATCTATTTCACGAACATGATGCTGGCAACGAATCGCTCTAAGAACACACCCCATAATGTTGCCACCACATAAATCTCCATGTGATACTTTTGCGCCCAAGGGAATCACACGAATTTCTTTCACGTAGACTGGATCCGGGAACTGCACAAGGTCCAAATTGAGTTCCTGGAGCAAAACAAGACTTCGTATCACTGGAACTTTCTCGATTCAAGGCTAGGTTATTTTTCTCACCTGTTGAGCATGCAGAAATGTATCGAAGAAAAGCAGCTTCACTTCCAATGCATCGTCCGAAACCATTATGATACCAAGCTCTCCAAAACGGCGATCAGCAAGGGTGACCGGACGTTACGGTACACTTTCAAACTCGACGCAACTCACTTCCACGCTGCCCCTCCAGAGGGCTGTTCCCTACCACTCCATGCCTCAATGCCAAAAATGAGTGACTTCATAAACTGCACATGCTTGCAGATACGAATTACATGTTGAAGAATTGTGTTGGAGTAGGAAGATAACATAATATTCAATACAGTACTTTCCTGTTATCTCTGTACCTCATTCCTAGACTGCACTACCATCCAGACAAATCTTCAGGACAAGTTC